GTAAAGTATGAACATGTAAAGTACGAGCATGTAAAGTATGAACATGTAAAGTATGAACACGTAAAGTATGAACATGTAAAGTATGAACATGTAAAGTATGAACATGTAAAGTACGAACATGTAAAGTATGAACATGTAAAGTATGAACATGTAAAGTATAAACATGTAAAGTATGAGCATGTAAAGTATGAACATGTAAAGTACGAGCATGTAAAGTACAAACATGTAAAGTACGAGCATGTAAAGTATGAGCATGTAAAGTACGAACATATGTAAAGTATGAACATGTAAAGTACGAACATGTAAAGTATGAACATATAAAGTATGAACATGTATCAAAGGCGATTGCTCCAAGACTGCATGGGAAGCTCAGCTTCCCCTAAAATGTAAAAAAAAAAAAAAAGTGATCAAATATATACTCGTGTGTACATGTCATTGACTAAATATGCGCTACAACGCGAGCAACTTTTGTTCAGAATCAGCTTCTTATCACTGGTAATGACGCAGCTTTCCTCACCCTCATTCCCATAACAGTGCTTTAAACAGTCGGATGCTCAGTTTCCACAGACTTCAATAGTGAGGCAAAAAAAAAATGCAGCGAAATGAGACGAGTCATTGGATAAATGCTGGGTTTTGTCCCGCCCCCGGACGCTCAGCGTCTCTGGGGGTCTATGGAGCAGTGGGTTGGCCTCAGCTGGCCCGGACGCTTAGCTTCTGCATGATGATTAGATGATCTGTCTGAGGCTGAATCCCTTTTTGAGTGAGAGTGAAATGAACGAATCAGCGATCTTTTAGTGTAAACATTCAGTGGGAGCAGTTTTTAGTTTCGTTTCTGTTCTGAGCTGAACCAGAGACTATCCTAGTCCACTTAGCAGCATTTTCTTTGTTAAAAACGATTAGCAACAAATCGAGCTTCTATTTCTGGTGGTTGTTTTGYAKCTGCTTGTGTTTGGAGACAGACTTCTATCACTCTTTCTGACGTCTATCACAGTTTCTGTCCAGCGGGTGCTGCTGAGCCCCTCCACCGTCACAAAGCACTCAAAGGCGGACACACTTCACTCTAGCCTCGCGTCAGTAACAAGGTACACATAATGGCAGAAAGTTTGAATGTTGTGGACTGGATTTTGGCGAAGCCATTTGATAGTCTTCCTTACGAAGAAAAACTTAGTTAAACAGCAGGGCTGATCAGCTCCTCAGATTAATTTGGTGCAAAAGGTGGGGGAAAGTAAGATAAAAAAACTTTTTATTGATCCCACAGTGGGGAAATAAGAGGTCCTTTCAGCTGTCCTGGTATAACAAAGTGAGCTGGCTGCTGTAAAAGACCATAGAATAATCTGGGAAATGATTATAAACGCACTGGATCAATTAATTCCTTTTAAAAAATCATCAAAGGAAAATTGTTAAAGAAATTTGAAATTGTTTAATTTGTATTTGAATGAGTCACTGTTTGAGGAGTTKAATTTTTTTGTTTTGTTTTATTATTTGTTTTATTATTCGTAAGTAAGTAAGTTAAATTTTATTTATATAGCGCCTTTCACAGAAATAAATTGACAAGGAGCTGTACATTCAGGGAAGGGGGAGGGGGCAGTTAAGACAGGTCATGTGGCAAACATAGTTGCACTACCTTTAGACAAACAGAACAACAGCTTGAAATACACAAAAGGAAAACTGAGTTAAAACAACCCACGAGAGTGCAAGATACCCTGGGGGGGGAGGGTGGTCTTAGGTCAGATAACACATAAAGGGGAGGTAAAATGGGGCGGTCTCAGAGGAGTGGGTGAAAATTAAGTGGGGGGTGGGGGGTGGGGTCCGTGCTAGGCCCAACCTAGCACAGACTAGCATTTGGTTTATTGTTTGAAATTAATATTTTCTTTGTTAATAGGAGCAGATATTGATATTTCTCTTCTGCTGCCTTTAATTTTTTTTATTTGTACTGTTTTGTTGTATGTAATGTTTTGTTTTTAAAAATGAAATGAATTAATACTATAAACTAAACAAAATGATCCGTGACAGGGTCACAGATCATCTCGGAGGGTAGAATTTATAAACCACACATTTTATGATGTAGGCCGAAACTGAGCTTCCTCTTCTTGAAAGACCAGCATCCGCCACTGCCATGTACAGTACTTAGGCAGGGCTCATTTAGTCTGGATTCCTGCAGAAATGTTGTGTGGCATGGCGTCTATCAGGCTGCAGCACTGCTCGGGTGTTCTGAGAACCCAGATTGCTCTGATAGTGGCCTACAGCTCTTCTGAAACCATCACTGACTGTGGAAACTTTACACTGGACCTCAAGCAACATGGATTCTATGCCTTTCTTCTCTTCCTCCAGACTCTGGGCCCATGATTTTCAGAGGAAATGCTAAACTTACTTTCATCAGAGAATACAACTTTGGACCACTCAGCAGCAGTCCAGTCCTTTTTGTCTTTAGCCCAGGTAAGACGCTTCTGACTGTCTCTTGATCAAGAGTGGCTTGACACAAGGTATACAAACAGCTGAAACCCATGTCCTCGTATGTCTTTGTATGTTGGCTCTTGAAGCACTGACTGCAGCTGCAGTCCACACTGTGAATCTCCCCCACATTTTTCATTGGGTTTTGTTTCACAATCTTCCCCAGGGTGTGGTTATCCCTATTGTTGTGTACTTTTTCTACCACATCTTTTCCTTCCTTTCACCTCTCTATTAATGTGTTTAGACATAGCGCTCTGTGAACAGCCAGGCTCTTCAGCAATGAGCTTTTGTGTCTTGCCCTCCTTGTGCAAGGTGTTGATGGTCGTCTTTTGGACAACTGTCAAGTCAGCAATCTTCCCCATGATTGTGTAGCCTATAGAACTAGACTGAGAGACCATTTAAAGGTCTTTGCACGTGTTTTTAATTAATTAGTTTATTAGAGTGAGGCACCAGGTGTCTTCAATATTGAACCTTTTTACAATATTCTGATTTTCTGAGTTACTGAATTTGGGATTTTCATTAGTTGTGAGTTATAATCATCAAAATTAAAAGAAATAACATGAAATATATCAGTGTGTGTGTAAAGAATAAGTTTATTATACAAGTTTCGCTATTTGAGTGGAATTACTGAAATAAAACAACTTTTTCATGATATTCTAATTTTGATTATTATTGTACAACTCAGCAGGTGAATTGTAGGCCTTTAATCTTTAACTGTTTTAGCTGAGTGTTTCCCACCTGCTCTTCAGGTGGAAGAGGGTCTGCTCTGAGGATGTAGTAGTAAACACAGGTCTTCCTCAACCACAGAGGGAAGGGGCCCTCCACAAACACCGGCCTCTTCGGGTTATGTTTGGCCAGCAGTTCCATCTGATCTGGACTCTGAACACCTGAAGCAAACAGAGGAAACAGCAGAAGTAAACATGTGAAACAGCTGAATTCAACAGAGGAAACAGCAGAAGTCAACATGTGAAACAGCAGAAGTCAACATGTGAAACAGCTGAAGTCAACATGTGAAACAGCTGAAGTCAACACATGAAACAGCTGAAGACAACACATGAAACAGCTGAAGACAACACATGAAACAGCTGAAGACAACACATGAAACAGCTGAAGTCAACACAGGAAACAACTGAAGTCAACACAGGAAACAGCTGAAGTCAACACGTAAAACAGCTGAAGTCAACACAGGAAACAGCTGAAGTCAACATGTGAAACAGCTGAAGTCAACATGTGAAATGGTCAACAGAGGAAACAGCTGAAGTCAACATGTGAAACAGCTGAAGTCAGCACGTACAACAGCTGAAGTCAACATAGGAAACAGCTGAAGTCAACATATGAAACAGCTGAAATCAACATAGAAAACAGCTGAAGTCAACATGTGAAACAGCTGAAGTCAACATGTGAAATAGTTGAAGTCAACATGTGAAACAGCTGAAGTCAACATGTGAAACAGCTGAAGTCAACATGTGAAACAGCTGAAGTCAACATGTGAAACAGCAGAAGTCAACAGAGTAAACAGTTGAAGTAAATACAGGAAACAGCTGATGTCAACAGAGGAAACAGCTGAAGTCAACATGTAAAACAGCTGAAGTCAACACAGGTAACAGCTGAAGTCAACATGTGAAACAGCTGAAGTCAATATGTGAAATAGTTGAAGTCAACATGTGAAACAGCTGAAGTCAACATGTAAAACAGCTGAAGTCAACACAGGTAA